AAACTCAAAGATTCACCTGCCTCTGCCTCCCAAGTGCTGCGATTAAAGGTGTGCGCCACCACTACCCGGCCTGCCTCCTAATTTCTTAACTCTCACACCAATACATTCATTCTATCTGGCTCCACAAACTGGATACAAAACACTACCAGTCTCACACTAATTCTCTCAGTAATTGCTGCCATTGCTTTAATGCCTTACAGTCCCTGATATTAATGTGGACTTCAGCTGGTGATAACCAAGTGTGTGATGTTCAAATGAACCGATTCCCTCATATGGCTTCAGGTTACACAGATTTTGCCTCAGAGAATTGCATGGTTGATTGTACTGCTCCGTTTCTCTACTTTTGCCTCCCTCAGATTGTTCCCAGTTACTCACATGTCCCACAGCTGCACAAGCCAGGTGAGAGAGTATAGGCAGAGTTTTTCTTTTTTCTTTTCTTTATTTTTATTATTTTTATTGCACTACATGTTTTTCTCCGCTCTGCTCCCTTCCTCCTCCTCCCCTTCTAACCTCTCCCATGACCCCCATGTTCCCAATTTACTCAGGAGAGCTTCCTATTCTAGGGTCCGCTTTGTTGTCTAGTGTCTCTGGGGTTGTGTGACTTGTAGGCTAGTTTTCCTTTGCTTTATGTCTAAAAGCCACTTATGAGTGAATACATATCATATTTGTCTTCCTGAGTCTGGGTTACCTCACACAATATGACGTTTTTTCTAGTTCCATCCATTTACCTGCAAATTTCAAGATGTCATTATTTTTTACTGCTGAGTAGTACTCTACTGTGTAACTGTACCACATTTTCTTTTTTTTAAAAAGATTTATTTATTTATTATGTATACAACATTCTGCCTCAATGTATCCTTGCACGCCAGAGGAGGGTGCCAGATCTCAGTACAGATGGTTGTGAGCCACCATGTGGTTGCTGGGAATTGAACTCAGGACCTCTGGAAGAGCAGCCAGTGCTCTTAACCTCTGAGCCATCTCTCCAGCCCCGTGTACCACATTTTCTTTATCCATTCTTCAGTTAAGGGGCATCTAGGTTGTTTCCAGGTACTGACTATTACAAATAATGTTGTTGTGAATATAGTTGAGCACATGTCCTTGTGGTATAAATGAGCTTCCTTTTTTATACCCAAAAGTGGTATTGCTGGGTCTTGAGGTAGATTGTTTCCTAATTTTCTGAAAAATCACCATACTGATTTTGAAAGCAGCTGTATAAGTTTTCACTCCAACCAGCAATGGAGGAGTGTTCCCCTTACCCCACATCCTCTCCAGCATAAGTTGTCATCAGTGTTTTTGATCTTGGCCATTCCGACAACGTGTAAGATGGGGTCTCAGAGTTGTTTTGATTTGCATTTCTCTGATGGCTAAGGTTGTTGAGCATTTTCTTAGGTGTCTTTCAACCATTTGAGATTTGTTTATTGATAGTTCTCTGTTTAGGTCTGTACCCTATTTTTTAAAATTGTATTATTTGTTCTTTTGATGTCAAGTTTCTTGAGCTTTTTGTATATTTTGGAGATCAGTCCTCTGTCCGATGTGGGGTTGGTAAAACTTTTTTTTTTTTTATCAATATGTAGGCTGCCATTTAGTCTTGTTGACCATGTTCTTTGCTTTACAGAAGTTTCTCAGATTCAGGAGGTCCCATTTATTAATTGTTTCTCTCAGTGTCTGTGATACTGGGGTTTTATTTAAAAAGTGGTCTCCTGTGACAATGTGTTCAAGTATACTTCCCACTTTCTTTTCTATGAGGTTCAATATGACTGATTTTATGTTGAGATTTTTGATCCATTTGGACTTGAGTTTTGTGCATAGTGATAAATATGGATCTATTTTCATTCTTGTGTATGTTGATATCCAGGTATGCCAGTACCATTTATTGAATATGCTTTCTTTTTTCCATTTTATATTTTTAGCTTCTTTGTCAAAAATCAGGTGTTTGTAGGTGTATGAATTGATACCCAGGTCTTTGATTTTATTCCATTGGTCGTCCTGTCTGTTCTTATACCAATACCAGGCTGTCTTCATTACTGTAGCTCTAAAATAGAGTTTGAAGTCAGGGGTAATGATGCCTCCAAAAGTTCCTTTATTGTACAGGATTGCTTTGACTATCCTGGTTTTTTTTTTTTGTTTGTTTTTTTGTTTTTTTTTTTTTCATATGAAGTTGAGTATTGTTCTTTCGAGGTCTGTGAAGAATTTTGCTGGGATTTTGATGGGCATTGAATTGAATGTGTAGATTGCCATTTTTGGTAAGATTGCCATTTTTACTATCTTATCTTGGGTGCTACCTACCCAAGAATATGTGAGATCTTTCCATTTTCTGGTGTCTTCTTCAATTTCTTTCTTCAAAGACTTAAAGTTCTTTTTTCTCTCTTTTTTTCTATTTATTTTTCTTAAATTTATTTATTTATTAAAAATTTCCACTCCTCCCATTTCCCTCCCATTCTCTCTCCAGCCCTAAGAGAAGTCAGGGTTCCCTGCCCTGTGGGAAGTCCAAGGCCCTCCCCTTCCATCCAGGTCTAGGAAGGTGAGCATCCAAACAGACTAGGCTCCCAAAGAAGCCAGTACATGCAGTAGACTCAAAACCCAGTGCCATTATCATTGGCTTCTCAGTCAGCCCCCATTGTCAGCCACATTCAGAGAGTCCAGTCTGATCACGTGCTCATTCAGTCCCAGTCCAGCTGGCCTTGGTGAGCTCCCATTAGATCAGTCGCACTGTCTTAGTGGGTGGGTGCACCCCTTGTGGTCCTGACTTCCTTTCTCATGTTCTCCCTCCTTCTGTTCTTCATCTGGACCTTGGGAGCTCTGTACAGTGCTCCAATGTGGGTCTCTGTCTCTATCTCCATCCATCGCCAGATGAAGGTTCTATGGTGATATGCAAGATATTCATCAGTGTGGCTATGGGATAAGGCCACACTGTTTCCCAAGGACCTAGTTGTCATACAAGTCTTTCACTTGTTTGGTTAGAGTTACCCCAATCTATTTTATGTTAGTTGTGACTCTTGTGAAGGGTGATGTTTCTCTGATTTCTTTCTCAGCCTTTTTATCATCTGTATAAAGCAGTGCTACTGATTTTATTTTGAGTTAATCTTGTATCCTACTACATTACCAAAGGTGTTTATGAATTGATCATCTTATTAGATGCTGAAAAAAATCCTTTGACAAGATTCAACGCCGTTCATGATAGAAGTATTGGAGAGAGCAGGGATACAAGCAACATACCTAAACATAATAGGCAGAGCTTTTCATCAGAATCGCCATCGAGTTCTGTCCGGCCAGTCACTCCCAAATAACCACACAGAGATTTAATATTAATTACAAATGATTGACTGGTAGCTTAGACTTATTACTAACTAGCTCTTACAACTTAAATTAACCCTTGTTTTAAATCTAAATTCTACCCTGTGGCTCATGGCTCGTTACCTCATTTTTCTACATGTACTGCTTCCTCCGCATCTGACTGGCATCCCCTCCAACTTTGCCCTTCTTCCCAGCATTCTCTCAGCCTGGCTCTCGCCGAACCTCTTTCTGCAGAGCTATTGGCCAGTAGACTCTTTATTAAACCAATGAGAGCAACACATCTTCACAGTGTACAAAAGGATTAATCCACAGCATGAGAGACTCTTTTATATCTTGTTTAAGTCTTTCTCAGTTCACCCAGATCTGAGGCAGTGTGTTTTGTGATTATCATGGCTTCCTGTAGTGGGCCATTATTAAGGCCTCTTAGTGCTGAGGCAAATACCAGTGTGACACCCATGAACGTACCCCTAGGCCAACAGATGGTCTGAGCCCCTAAGCTGAGCTCAAGCCTGCCAGGTACAGAGTGTTCAGTCTCTACTTCAGGCCTCCCAGCATGCCCCCGTTCTGTTCACAGGGTTCAAGCCAGCTTCTCTCATTTCCCGCACTGTTGGACAGAACAGAGATAGGCCAGGGCCAAGGGACACCAAGGTCATCCAGATGTAGAAATGAAGGGAAACATTCATTTAGGGCAGCAGAAGCAGTCCTGGGTGGGAAGCCCAGGATGGCTTGGCTGTGGAGTGGTCTGCCAGAGCCTCTGACATCACGTACTGCCCACTCACAGCTGCCTCTCTGGGAAGGTGGTGGCCCTACAACACCCTTCTGGCTGGTGACAAGCTGCAGCAGAGCCCCACACCCCAATCCCACCCTGGGCTCTGTTCTACAGAGCTTCCAACATCCCCACCCCAAGCCAATCAAAACCCACTAGAAGGGGAGCTGGGGTAGCGGGTGGGGTGGGGGGGAGGGAAAGACAGGGACTGCATAGGTCCAGAAGCTGCTGGGGATAGGGGAGGTGAGGGGTGGAGGTGGCAGTGTTCCTCTGGCTCCCTCTTCCAAGTTTGAGAAAACCGGGTAGGAGCACATCTCCATGGATACCATGAGTAACAAGGTATAAAGACCGATGGGAGGTGATTCGGGAAAGGCCTGGAGCCAGCAGTTGTCTTCTCCTGGAAAGAGGCTCCGGGGCTATAGGTACGCATAAAAAGAATGTCTCATTGTCTGCAGAATCATCTCAGAGGTCTCCTCTTCTGAGTCCCAGACTTTGGGGGACTCACATGTTCTGTAAAATCCCTAGTGTGTCCCGTCTGTCGCGGGCAAGGGCTGGAGAGGCAGGTGGTATGGCCTCTAGCGCCTGGCCCAAGAGCTGAGTGCCCTGTAAGAGGCTGCTGCCTGGCAGGTCAGACCCAAAATAACCACCCAGATACTGTATTAATTAAATCACTGCTTGGCCCATTAGCTCTAGCTTTTTATTTGCTAACTCTTACATCTTAATTTAACCCATCTCCATTATTCTGTGCATCACTACCAGCAAAATTTCAGTACGTCTGTCTCCAGGAGGGTCCACAGCTTCTCCCTGACTCTGCCATTTTCCTCCCAGCATTAAGTTTAGTGTGTCCCCTTCCCCCACACCCACAGCTCTGTTCTGCCCTATCAGTCCAAGCCAGCTTTCTTTATTCATTGATGGTAATCACCGCATACAGAGGGGAATCCCACATCGGTGCCCCTAATGCTCTTTCTTGTCCCGCAGAAGAGCTATGAAGCGCAATGTCCGGCTGAGGTGCCCCTTCCGCAAGGGGACCTGCGAGATCACCCGGAAGACACGGCGGCAGTGCCAGGCCTGTCGTTTGCGCAAGTGCCTGGAGAGTGGCATGAAGAAGGAGAGTGAGTGGCGGCAGGGCAGGGGCATCAGGCTCGGTGGACTGGGACAGGCTCCAGAGAGCCGAGGCGCCATGGTACGCCCTGAGCTCGTGTACATTTGGGAGCCTTGTGGGACTTGTGGGAGATACCGGACACCGGTTCTCTGCGGCAGGAAGTGTGGTGGGAGCTGCCTGCCAGGGCTGTGTCCTCTTTTCTCTCAGCTGCCCCTGCACGGTTTGTCTCCATTTGTAACTCTAGTGATGTTTGGGGGCTGGGGGAGGACGACCCTGAAGGGGCACATGTGTTGAATCTGCTTCTTTAACTCACAGTGATCATGTCGGATGCCGCTGTGGAGCAGAGGCGGGCCTTGATTAAGAGGAAGAAGAGGGAAAAGATCGAGGCTCCACCGTCTGGGGGGCAGGGGCTGACTGAAGAGCAGCAGGCGCTGATCCAGGAGCTGATGGATGCTCAGATGAAAACCTTTGACACCACTTTCTCCCACTTCAAGGATTTTCGGGTAGGGGCTTAGAGCTGTGACAAATGCCCATGGCTATGCCAGCTCCTCAGTACTGAGTCACTTTTCCGAGGTCGCTCATGCTGTGGTGGTCTGCATCACGATTCTCTGAGAACTGGCCAGAAATGGGAAAAATCTCAAAATTTTTCCCCTGACCCCAAACTTTGGGGTGAGAAACCCTTTGGTCATTCCCCGGCCAACTCATGTTGGGGAATCTTTACTCTCTGCCCGCAGCAGGTAGGAGCCGGGTGAGGATAGTGGAGGCAGGCATGCTGCCCACACTGAAGTGTTGTGAGACCAGGACCAGAAGGGGGATGGCCTGCCAGAATGGGCGTTTGTTGGCTAGCTCTGTCTTCACTCCCAGTATCACCCCTCCAGAACCTTCTTCCAGAATTGTCACAAGTAGTTCAGGTGACTGCACCAGCAAAGGATGGTCTAGGTGCCAATATCTATGTTTCCATTTAAAGCAGTGGTTCTCAACCTTCCTAATGCTGCAGCCTTCTAATGCAATTCATGTGATGCCCCACAACAATAAAATGCTTTACTACTGCTTAACTGTAATTTTACTACTGTTATGAATCGTAATGTAAATATCTGATACACTACCTCCGGGTTCAGAACCGCTGATGGACAGCTTCCAAACTCTTACTCTGTCTCCTAGATAAAAAAGGGAGAGGCTTAGGAAATACTAGGCAAGGAGGCCTCCCTCACCCTTCACACTGGCCATGCAGGACTATGTCTATTCATTTACAGAACACCGCCTGTCAGACAAGGGCTATATATACATGAGGGCACCTGTGTGTCCTGGCTATGATCTTGTTTCTCACACTGCATCTGGTCATCAGGAGCCTATGTGGGGACTTGTCTGGGACAACACACAACCTCCTCTCTTTGCCTCCCACCCTTTATCCTAGCTGCCTGCGGTGTTTAACAATGGCTGTGAGCTCCCAGAGTTTCTGCCGGCCTCGCTGTTGGAAGACCCCGCCACGTGGAGCCAAATCATGAAAGACTCCGTTCCAATGAAGATCTCTCTGAAGCTGCGGGGAGAGGACGGCAGCATCTGGAACTACCAACCCCCCTGCAAGAGCGACGGCAAAGAGATCATCCCTCTGCTGCCACACCTGGCGGACGTGTCAACCTACATGTTCAAGGGTGTCATCAACTTCGCCAAGGTCATCTCCTACTTCAGGTAGGTCTTGAGGGAACAATGGGTGTAATCTGTGAACTTGGGAGAAGCTGGGGTCAAAAGACCCTGTGATGTCTCTGCCCTGGGGGACCATTGCTACTGGGGTACAAAGTCTATATGGCTCGTTAGTTCTGTTGCGGAGGGACAGTCAGCTTTTCCATTTTGGAATGGGAACTGATCATAGCAACCTTGTAGGGTGTCTTAGTTAGGGTTTCTATTGCTGTCAAGAGACACCACGACCATGGCAACTCTTATAAAGGGAAACAAGTAATTGGGTGGCTTACAGTTCAGAGGTTCAGGCCATTGTCATCATGGTGGGGCATGGTGTGTGTAGGCAGACATGGTGCTGCAGAGGTAGCTGAGAGTTCTACATCTTGCCCAGGCAACAACAGGAAATGAACTGAGACACTGGGTGGTATCTTGAGCATAGCAAGTCTGCTCCCACGGTGCCCCGCTTCTTCCAGCAAGGCCACACTCTAGAAGTGCTACTGCCTATGAGCTTATGGGGACCAATCACATTCAAGCTATCACAGGGCTGATGAAATTAGAAAAAAAAAATCTGAAGAACATCTCCCCATGAGGACAGAAACCATGATTGGACATTTGCAGACTAAAAGTTGAGTTGGAAGGACAAGGAGGGAAGTACATAGAAGAGAGATGTGGGGTTTCCACTGTCTGGTATCAAGTAGGCCATGGGGAGGGTAGCCGCTCTTGTCATCCACAGACCTCATCTCCCTAGAGCTGGGTACGGAGACAATGACCATGACAAATGGTGTCAGCAAGAGAACCTGGGGCCTGATGGAGTGGGAACCAGCACTCCATAACATGCAGTCTGTGGTGCTAGGGGTGATGCCTGGTGTCCTCCACCTTGCCTTGCCCAATGGGGGCAAGTGGGGATGAATTACACATGCAAGGAGCACACTGTCAGGCAGAGCATATGGCCGGAATGGGACACTGGGTCTCCGTTACTGGAAACAGCTAGGAACATGTATGACACTCAGTATCAGGGAGCAGCTCTTTCCAGTGCAAGGTGTGCCATGTGCAGGATATTGCTCTCTAGAAACACTTCTGGGAAGGGAAGACACTTCTGGACTTGAAAAGTCACCAGGGTTTACTTAAAGGGGCAATCATTGCCGGTAGGCACACAGAGGCAAAAGTTTATGAGGCTATCAAGGAAGACCCATACATTAAATGTTGGTCAGAGACTGTCTAGGATGTTGGAAGAGACAGGGTAGTCTGTAAGGGTCCTGGACACAGAGCTAAGGAAGCATGGAACGTTCCTGGGGGGTGGAGAGAAGGCCTCAGTGGGTAAAGTAACCTGATGGCCTGAGTTATGAGAGAGAGAGATTGGAGGTAGCTTTGAAGGAACTGCATCCTCAGAAGGAGGCTGGTCCATCTCTTTCTCTTCCAACTTTTGGATTATGAGCTGGGGACTGGTACCAGGCTGTGGACAGTCCGCCTAGGAGCCGTCATCACCTCCTGTCCTAATTGCCAGGGACCTGCCCATTGAGGACCAGATTTCCCTGCTGAAGGGAGCCACTTTTGAGATGTGCCTACTGAGGTTCAACACGATGTTCGACACAGAGACTGGAACCTGGGAGTGCGGTCGGCTGGCCTACTGCTTCGAAGATCCTGATGGTGCCCGAGAGATGCCTGGCAGAGGGAGGGAGGGAGACATCAGCCGAGGGAGACTGGGTGAGGAGGGAAGCCTGAGTTCTTGAGGCAGGCTCCTGAGGTGCTGGCTGTCTACCCTATACTCACCCCCAGGTGGCTTCCAGAAACTTCTCTTGGATCCGCTGATGAAATTCCACTGCATGCTGAAGAAGTTGCAGCTGCACAAGGAGGAGTACGTGCTGATGCAGGCCATCTCCCTCTTTTCCCCAGGTGATGGCTCCCGTCAGCTGCTGGCCCCTTCAGTCATCTGCAGGAGGCAGCAGTTCCCTGCCCAGGGAAGGGGCTCAGCCGCCATAAGCTTTGCTTCCCACTGCACAGGCAGACTGCAGTCTTCTGTCTTCTTGTTTGGGGTGGTCGGCCAGCCTTTCCTTTATCCTGGGCTGGACTGAGCTTTCTTTGTCCCTCTCTGCCCTGCCTGGCACCACAATGCCTTCCTTTCTCTTCCCTTCCCTTCTCAGACCGTCCTGGTGTGGTGCAGCGCAGTGTGGTGGACCAGCTGCAGGAGCGATTTGCCCTCACCCTGAAGGCCTACATTGAGTGCAGCCGGCCATATCCTGCCCACAGGTGAGGATGAGCAGGGAGGGGCAGATACAAGGGGGAGCCTTCTTGCTGCCTCACTTTGGGCCTGATTTCTAAGCCCCTACCATGCCTAGGGAAGCTTCCGATGACCAAGGCTCTGGAACTGTTTTGTCACTTTACTGAGACTTCCAGCCTGAGGGCTGGAAGGGCCCTGAAGGGATACTTGTCTGTCCAGGGTTTCCTACATTTCTGTCAAGATGTGGGAAGCCTGACTCTTCTGTCTCTCCCATAGGGTCTTCTAAAGAAGACCAGTAGCAACCACCATGACAGTAACTATAGTGAAACCACTCATAATGACAGTTCATCTATAATAGCTACTGCTGATACCCAAGTGTCCACCTCAGGGCCAAGAAGCCTATGCATATTATGTATAACCCTTAACATTCAGAACACTCCCGAGGTGGATACCAACACCATGCTATAAGGGAGTCAAGGCGATGCCCAGGATCCCACAGGGTGGAGGGCTAGAGCCTGGCAGCTAGATTATCAAAGCTCAGGCTTGTCAAGAAAACCTGTTTGGAGACTGGCACGATTAAGAGCTCCCATGTCTCCGCCAGCCCTCGGATTCCCATGTCCTAGTGCCCAGTCCATGACCACAGGCATGCCGACAGCAACAACCCTGATGACAATGTGCCTGAGGCTTTGAGCATTAAGGCCAGTCTTGGGTATTCTAGCATGAACTTGAAGATCTCCTCTTTGCTTGGCCTGCTCAGTATCCTGGGATGCTGGGGCGGTGGGGGGTGGGGGTGGTTACATCTTTATCTGTTCAGTTACTTCTGCAAGGAGGGTGAAGGTGATAGTTTCCTTACCTATCTTGGGGAGACCAAGGTAAGTGTGTTCAGATGTTGGATGCAGCAAGAGATGCAGGACAGGAATCCAGCCTGAGGGTCCTAGCCGTATCGACTCAGTCGAGAGATTGACCAAGATGACGACTCCCCCCACCTTCATATTAATCTACGAATTTGCGACCTGCAAGGTCTGAAGTTTCTACAGAGGTCTCCGTGTGCAGGACTCAAGGTGGCGGGGGTGGGAAGAGGAAAGGTAGATAGATGGCGCCTTCTGCCTTCTCACGCATAGGCTGCAGGAATTCCACACCTTGCTTGGATTTTCTAAGTTTGAATTTGTGTGCTCTCAGAAGAGGGTCAGTCTGGTGGGACGGGAAGGGTGGACTGAAGCCCCTACTTCTCTGGCTGCCGACAGGTTCCTGTTCCTGAAGATTATGGGTGTCCTCACTGAGCTGCGCAGCATCAACGCCCAGCAGACCCAGCAGCTGCTGCGCATTCATGACACGCACCCCTTCGCCACCCCCCTCATGCAGGAGTTATTCAGCAGCACAGATGGCTGAGTGGCTGTCCCTGGGCGGAGAGCTCATGGGACAGCCAGATCCAGGCATTCTGTATTGTCACTTCGAGGGCTAGACAGACGGACACATTGAGCGCCAACAATGCCTTATGACTGCAGCTGACGGGAAAAGGACATGAAGCCCCAAGTTCAGCCTGTGGCAAGTGCTGGCCTTATAGGTTAGCCCCATCCTTGTGCTTGGGAAGAAATCTCTGAATCCCACTAAATTCTAGTGTCGGGTGGGAAGGAAGGGACCAGGCCAAGTTATGTAAGGGTGTACATACCCCACACATTCCCAGCCCCCAAGCTTCCTCTTTTCCGGACCTCAGCTCAGCATCAGGCTCGTCAGTGCCACTGCTGAGAGCCAGGAGCTGGTCATGACCTTGTTCTGGCCACATCACTCAGGTCCTGCATCTGAGCAAACACTGCTAATCACCAACAACCCGACTGCTGTAAGGGATACAGTGTGGGCTCAGATGTGGATCCCAACCTCAGAGTTCATGAAGAATGCAGATGTGCACATGACATACAGTCAGGGAGCTTTATGTGGGTTCTGGTTCCGAATGCAAGGTGCTTGTCGAGGAAGGGGTGGGAACTGTGGCTGTGGGTGGGGACCTGTACGTGACTTAGTGTGGGTACGTCTGCTCCCGAGGGTCTGGCTTGTTCCCAAGATGGAGCACTGGGGTTACCTATGATAAGGCATCAGTGACAGACAATAAACACGTGAAAGCAGAATTACCTGTGTACACCGAACTCCCAAGTACACTCGGGTCCTCAGAGCTGAAGTGTATGGAAGCATCTGCCTCACTTGTAATAGTCTGTAGAGCTGTCATGCCTCTTCACAAGCTATGCCTTACTGCCACACAAGGTATTCCAAGCTAGGAACTAAGCAAGTATGTTCCTGGGTTTAACTTAAGATCAAGACAAGAGGATTTCAGTAATGAAATTCTGGGTAGAGATATAAAACATATTTTAAAAAAGATTTATTTTTGCTCTCTGTGTGTGTGTGTGTGTACGGATGCCCAAGGAGGTCAGAAGAGGGCGCTGCGTTCCCTGGAGCTGTAGTTAGAGGTGGTTGTGAGCCACCTGATGTGGATGCTCGGAACTGAACTCTGGTCCTCTGGAAAATCAAGTGCTCTTAAACCGCTGAGCCATCTCTCCAGCCCCTATTTTTTGACCTTTTTTTCTGGGAAAGAAAAAAAAAATGTGAGAATGAGAAAACAGAAATAAAAAACAGAGCCAGGCGAGACTGAGGTAAGAATACAGGGCAGTCTGGGGAAACAGAGAGACAGTATCCCAAAGCACACATACACAGCTGTACTCTTCTGAGTTCAGCATTGCTCTTTATAAGCCTGACCATCTGCCTTTACGACAGAAAAACGAGCTATTCGCCTAATTAGCTTTTGTGCTTGATTATTATATATAAAAATATATACATGCCATAATAGAAATGTAGTTACTGTGTGAAAATACTCGGTTGCAAAGGAAGTTAAAAGTAACTGAATTTTAACCAACAGGTAATTACTTGACTCTAGCCATCTTACAAACAGGCCAAACCGTACTGGCATCAGATGTACAGAAGTCAAAACAGTAAGCTTAATCCCCTGCCACTCCCCACCCCCATTTCTACACAAAGACATAAATAAAGAAAGCATTTGTGTTTGGGAGAACCTGAAGCCCTTTGCAGCAAACTCATGATTTCGTATAACTAAAGACTTGGTTATAACTAGCAATACATTTCTCATCTGGAAGTCTAGATTCTATTCAACTATATTCATAAACCACACAGGCATCTCTTCTTCCTCTGGGAAGTTACCTTTGGTGCTACTCATTCAAAAGCCTGACAGTAGTTAGACGTGGGTGGGGTCGGAGAAGTGAGGTTAAGATTAAGATGTAATACAGAATACACTCCCTATCCTAGCTGAGTTTTAAAATACCCAGGCAGGGCCCTGAACACTAAACTGGCAGGGGCACAAGAATCACAGACAGTAAACACGTATTCCAAGAATGTGTACGATTCACGGTTGGCGGCACAAAAGAGCGCAGATAGGTTATACATCCTCTTAGCGCCATGGCTGAGTTTTAAGATTCAGAGATCCATCCAACCTTCCTGCTCTCCATCTGGTTTCCTCTTCGGCCCCCTCCCTGAGCTTCTGAACAAGTAGAAGCAAGTATTGGTTTCTAGGCATCTTGGTGTCAACAATTCTTTTTCTGGTTCCCCACTCAAGAGGGGATTGGTCGATTTCCAAAGTGCAGGAGAAAAGATCTGTGAGCCACTGTAGGCCTCTGGCTCTCCCATCACGCACGAACCACTCAGCAGCCACTGTCTTGAGTGACAAATCTTCATGCGGGAGGCCCAGGAGTGACCCTTGCTTTCTGGGAAGAAGAGAGACTTAAAAACCAATCAACCCACTCCTAGCTACCATTAACTGGCAACCCCAGCTCCAGGTAGCTCACCAGTCAGCAGAGCAGTTTCAGTTCACTCAGGCTGCTCTTCTTCCCAGAACCACAGCTCTCTAACACTGCAAGGTGCTCGGAAAGACTAGCCCTGCTGCTGGCCTATGGTTCAGCACTATGCCTGGAAGGACTCAGGAATAAAGAACCTTTCAGGTCCTATAGTCCCAACCCAAATGGCCACGGTAGGACCCAAAAATGATGGAGACCACCGCCCTGCTGACCCAGCCCCATTCCCCAGTGCTGGAATTACAGGCAGGTGGCACCACAGTGAGTCCCTTCTAAAAATGTTAATAGAACTAGCCCACTAAATAAAAGACCACACTCAATCGAATATAAATTTGTCTTTATTGAAGCAGCAGTCACATGACCTTAAATCTAACCTTTAGGCCTGACAACAAGCCAGCCCTAAAAAAAAAAAAAAAAAAAAAAAAAAGAGTGTTTCTGTTTGCACTAAGAGACATAACATGTTAACATACATTATCCAGTACTGGAAATGAGCAGCCTCAAACACGTGTTGGTTATATGGGTGACACAGACCCACTGTCCATGGCGTTCATGTTTTACAGAGACTCCCAAAGACCATTACTAATAAGACGGAAGAGAAAAGAAAATACAGTCACACCAAACCATGGACACAGTAACCAAAGACAGCAGCTTACAAACGCTTTTACCACTGTCCCTTCTGGGGACATCTTCTTTCCATAGCAGTATCTGCAGAACGTCCTCTACATTAAGTCCAGGGGTTTCCAGGCCAGAAGCTGCCCCTCCTGTCTATACATCAGAGCAAGGTCATTTCAAAGAATGAGAGTTGTGTGTTCGTAACAAAGATTCGTGTTTCCCCAGTTAGAGGAGAGGATAGGTGACGTGACTATATGTTGCAATGGCAAAGTAGGCAGAGTAAAGAAAGAGGAGTGGGCACTGAAATAAAGACCACACACTTGTGAATTTTAATTTCATTTCCAGGCTAACCTACATTTTATTTAATGCAAATTACAGTACCAGTTAACTATTTCCAAACCAAGTCACATAGAACGAAATGTATTTACAAGGGAATGGGGGAAGGGAAAAAAACATTGAGCATACTTTCCACAAAAAAGTTTATATTTAAAATGAAAAAAAAAACATTCAGTCACAGAGGCATTCAAGTAGTAATGTTATACAGCGTTTGCTTTTCCTTTATATCAAGACAGATTTGCACAAGTGTTTGCAATAGTTTGTATACAACCCACAGTCCTTTATATATATATATATTATAATAATAATAAATTTTGTTTAGATTTGTTTTTAAGATGGAAGTGGTCACGCTAATTGGTATGTGTACAGGCCCAAGTGATCCATCGGCAACACATTTATAAATGCAAATATTACAGGCAAGCACATTTCCATACAACTATCTGTATCTGCCTGTAGACAGATATAGTAAGAAAAAAAAATTAAAAATTAACACAAGGTAGTCTACTTTGTCAAGCTAACCCCTTATGTACTGGCTGTCATTTTGTTTGTATTGTGGAGATACACAATGGAACAACAAGCTTGAATAAAATGGCATAGCCCCACGAAAAGGCCCCAGACCCAGGGATCACTTCCCAAGACTCTCCAAGGAGACCTTGGTCTGGGACTCTCCTGTGCTTCTAGCTGTTTCTTTATTTTCAGTGGCTTCAGTTTTTACCAGAAAAGACAAGTTTCACCATAAAGGAAGATGCTCACTTTCCATACAGGGGAGAAACGTGTTCATCTCTGTGATGAGAACAATCAGTAGTGTCAATAGGAACCAGACACAATTTTGATTTAAAACAAAGAAAGAAACAAAAACAAAAACCCCAACTCTGGGAGATCTGGCACTGGCCAAACTTCCTTTGGAAGATTCCAAAGTTAAAACCCTTAAAAGGGAAGGGAAATGTAACAGAATTGCCAGTGTCTTTACATCCACAGGGATAGAGAACACAGTCCTCTCAGGACCTCTGTATTTGTGTGGACAGGAAGACCAGGTAGATACACTTTGCTAAAACACAAACCTAATAAATGGGTCTAAAAGAATTAAAGACTTAAGTAAAAAAAACACAGAATGTTATGGGAAAGAAGGTGCAGTCTTCTGCCATGTGCAATAAACACACGATGTCTCAAAAATAGCAACCTTTGGTTTGGTAGTGGCTTTTTTCTTTTTGTTTTCCTTCTTCTATTCAAGACATACAAAGTAGTTGGTGGCAAAATGAATACTTTTTTTTTCTTTCAAAAGGCCCTATTAGGCACAGTTAGGAAACTGATTTTCAAAAAAGAAATTAAAATGATGCTTCACCCAACAAGATGGCAGGAGGGAGGAATGGGTTCAGAGTCCACTTGACAGTCCTCACCAGCACAGCACATGGTACAGCAGCTGCCAACAACTTCACCAGGGCATCCAGACCACTGGCGTATCAAAAAACAAATGCCACCAAGACAGCATGACTTCTTTTTCAAAATCAAACAAAACCGATGTCTCTTTCTCTTGGTTGGGAGGGCAGTAGGTGGGGGCAGAGTGAGAGTGGGATCTTCCCAATCTGCTGCAAGGCCTGCTTTAGGGCTTGAGGAAAAGATGAGCCAAACCCAATCGATCTGACATCCTCCAGCTCTAGGACTCCCTGCGCTCTACCAAGTCCCTGCATGGACTAAGTGTGAAATGAAACCGGTCGCTGTTACTGAGGAGACAGACACACCCAGAACCAAAGAAAGGCAAGGCTACAATGAAATGAGATTTCAAACACAGTTTCCTCTCCCCTACTCAAACTGTGGAGGGGGCAAAGGTGCTGTTACCTTGTAACTTCAGACGGAAAGGGGACTGACAGGGACACATGGATAAAGGAAGTCAATTAAAAAAACAAAACAAAACCAAATACACGGAAGCGAAGGCACTCCAAACTATATAGATACACTATACATTGCTAGAGTTATTGTTACAATAATACAGGCCGGTACCTACTGTACAGAGTCAAAACTATATGGCTTTAAAAAGCTCGTCTACATTTTTGTCTGGTTATTAAACAGAATCACTGCCCTGAACAGTAACTTTTTGCTCATTAATAACAGTTCCTGGGTCCACATATTTACATACAAAACAATAAAACTTAAATTTAAAAACATCGAAAGAAAATATAATATACAAGCTTGAATTTGGTGAGGAGCTTTTAATTATTATTATTTACAAAAAGATATTCAGACACCTGGATCTCACTTGTATAAGTTCTGTGATCCTGCCATGATCCTTGAGAAAGAAAAATCGTGCACCTCAGCCCACACACACACACACACACACACACACACACACACACACACAATCACGCTTGCACACACACAGAAACACACATCACGCACGCACACAGGTTAGAGAAAAGCACCTAACCTTGCTCTTCTCTTACCCCATCTGGGCGGTGGGGAGTATTTGCTAAAAGCAAGCACTGATTTTTATGGACTCTAGCAAGTACACCAAGTCCAGAGTAGTGTCTGTGTCTGGCTGGGCAGTTTTATCTGAAAGCAGGTTCCCCTCTTAGGCCACAGAACCACTTATTCAGACTCTTTACAAATTCTTTCTGAAAACGGCCTTCCAAGTCACCCCTTCTAGGAACTATGCTGTCAAATACTTTGATGTCAGAATTCTTTCAAACTCTATCTCTCGGAAGCACTTCACAGAAAGTAAAAGCCTATTTGTTTGATTTGGTTTGACTAAGCATGCTTCCGTTCTTGTGAACTCTGATAGAAGCAGAGGTTTGAGATGCCCCTTTTGTGGCCCAAAGAGCGTAGCCGCACAGTGAGTGAGAAGTCAGATGGCTCGCTGCTGTCTCTCTACTATCGATTCATTTCGGCAGGCAGCGCAACTCTCGTGGAGAGTTACAGACGCGGTCGAAGAGGCATGACAGGGTGCTAGGGCCTGGACAAGGGCTGCCAAGAGACCCCTCTTTCCACCCACCTGGAGGGCAGGACCCCACCCCAATGACTGAAGGTGGTAACGAGGGCAAAGGAGGCCACACACAGCCAAGGGCTCTGTAGGTCTCATCATTTGCTGACCTTAGCAGACACTGGGGAAGGAGAGGGAGGAAGGATAGGTGGCCATCACTCAAGTGATCTTTAAATGTGAAAGGTAACTGATTGTGCCTTAAAGATTCATAGGTCAAGTAATGGCCCATAAGCACCAAGGTTCATTTTAGAGTATATAAGGCCCACAAAGATACCAACCTTAAAAGGATCAACAAACTAGTTATGAATTCTGTTCCTCACTCAAACGTAATCCTTCAATCATCCTTGCTTTCCAAGGAATATTGCTTTGTCTTCAAATAACAAGAGACTGATTCTTACACCATTCATTGATAAACATAGAAAACTAAAACAAAACTCTTAATGATTGAGGGAACATTCTTTTCATGATTCAGTCAGTCAATTTTGATATTATAGACAAAAAGAAAAGGCAGTATTGAATATATGTATATATAACATATACACACATTGATATAATCAGTTTTCCTATAAAGTCAGCAGGTACAGGTGACTTTATCATTTTGATGTGTGGTTTTTAATATGCCTACCACTTAAAATCATAATGGCCTATCTGACATGCATCAATAAATAAATTTAAAAAGCATGATGTTAAAAAGCAGAAATTAAATATACAGTCTAGATTTGGATTTAAAATTAGAACTATGTTTAAGAACGTGGAAAGTCTTGCAAGCTTGATTTTCAATTAAAATATGAAAAAAAAAGCAGTAGACTGTTACAGTTCACATTATTTAGCTACAATGTCTTCTCTCAAGTGTATTTTTCTAAGGGAAATAACTTTAGAAAACTCTGGACAAATTCATTCACAGTGGTGAGATCTGCCCCTGGCCTGCTGCCTTCCTGTCATTTGCCTTCTGATGCACCCAGAGCTGCTGGCTTATCACCATCTCCAATCTCATCTCAGGGCACCACCTCAAAACAGCATTAAGTTATGCAGACAGCCTTTGGTCAGGTGAACCAAGATCCACCCCAGGGCATGCAGCTGTGGCTCTCCTTGCAGCCTTCCTAAGCCAGCATCTGCAACACTTGCACTGGTCAAGAGCAAAACAAACCTTAAATAACCAATCACAAATCTTTCCTTATAAGTTTCAGACTTAGTGACCTCCCTGGGCTATGAACAATACACATTTCTTCTCTCTCTCTCTCTCTCTTTTTTTTTTTTTTTTTTTGGTCTGTCACACCTGCCATCAACCTGCCAAAGGCAAGTCTTCAAATACCCGAGGCTATGTATACATTTTACAGGTGACATTAAGTCCCTGTTGAGTACACCTGCTAAGCTCCCAACCAATTTCAAGCTGTGCACTGTATCAAAGTCCTACACCAGACTTTAAAAGAAAACAAAATCAGAAAATAAACAAGCACAGAACAGGTTTTCTTCTCTTGTGGTGGGGGCATGAGGCAGGAGTCTGGTCTTTAAGGTATACAATAGCAGACGTCTGATTTAAAAAAAGAAAAGAAAAGATTGTCGTGGGAGAGATTGTGTGTTCTAGTGCTCCTCTCCTCCCCCCACCCCAGCCCTCCCACCCCTTGGATCTCCTTAAAAGTGAGAATACAATGAAACTGGTTTGTATTTATAGATATTTTACAAGGTTAAATAAGAACAACAATAATAAAAAAATTGAACACTAAAATGAACAGGGTTTTTTGTTTTTGTTTTTTTCCTCTTTTTAATTTTCTTTCCAAACGTGACCAGTGTTGCTGAGTGACACTCAAGTAACTGCTGGTTTTTCCTGCGCAGCTGGCTACTTGGGGCTGTTCAGGTGGAGTTGGAAGCTGATGCAGAAGCGGCATTATTGGTCTGTCCACGGTCTCCAGCATTAGTATCTGCAAATCCAAAGTCCCGAGAGAGCGTGAGCAATGTTATGATACCACAAAGATCACAAGTACACTGGTCCACCGCACACAGTGCCGTGGCCTTCCAAAGCTGTCAGCTGATACGCTGCTTTCTGTTTGGAGCTAAGTGGTGGTACATTTAACACAGTACAGACTCAGGGGCACAGAAGCCGTTTCTGTCTAGGCGTTTGCTATAGCGGGGACCAGCAGTACTCAGGTTGGAGTCTAGCTCCCCGAAAACAAATGAAGACACACAGATGGGAAACTACCTAAAGATTTTGAGCCATGCTCCAACATGTATCTGGTAAAGTTATCCAAGAATACACTTTACTATTTAACGGCACGTTGTTCAGTTTATCAACTCCATAACCACTGTACTTCCTTCCTTCCTAAACTCTTTGTTTTCCTGTTCCCCAAATAATCTACCCCACATCCATTTAACCCACTGGGGGTCAGGCAACATTTTATAGTTCATTAACTTTTACCTCAAAATATTCCCGGCTGCTATCAGTTCTTCTTTCATATAAATAAGGTGACCTCGGAGTCATACTACCAGGGCATGGGGACATCTTAGTCACTGGCAGATGACAGGTAAACCAGAACATACTCTCTAAAGCCACGCTGAGCCTTTCTCAGACATCAGTGAATTGCTAGGGATGAGGCTTCATTCATGACATGACCTGCTGAAAGGGAGTTTCACTGTTCAGTCATTCACATTTGGTGTACCAACAATACAACAATTCCTGTTTAGATAACAGATCCCCAGGCCTTTCTTCATTTTTATGATTCAGGCACAGGCTGTATTAAAAACTGTCAGAAGAAGCCTGGAAAACCAGGGTTACTTCAGAGTTGTAATGTCCCCACAAAGCATCCTTCTTGTACCATTTCCTGTGTTCTACACAACTGTCAGCAAGCGCACAATCATCCCCAAACACCACACACACTCTCCACTTTCTGCACAAGATCCCAGGAACTGCTGCTCCATCTTTAAACCCAGGACTTGAGAGGCACCCACTACACCCTCACATAAACTAGCACTGTGACAGCTCTGGCCATGTGGTCTAGCTGTGCCAGCTGATGCCAACCAAAGTGTGCACTAATTACCTACCCACACCAGCAAACTGCACATTTATGGCAACTTACTCTTTGGCAAAGTCCTATATAGCTAACAGTTTTCAGATGCCCTTTCATGAGCTATAGCCCATTAGTGTATGTCCTAATCCAAACTAATCTCACCTTACTTGAGTAAATTCAAAGACTGTTTACATGATCACCATGAATGTACAAACCTTCTTATGTGATCATACAACTAATTGGAAACTGGTAAAATCTGTAAACTCATTTCCAGTTACATGATCAGAAAAAAAAAATCTGTTCTGAGAAAAGGAAGGAAGGCATAGAATCATCCTAACATCCTGTAGCATCCTCCAACATGACACCAGGGATTCATGCCTCCTGGCACCTATGCTCTTAATGTAGTCCTTTCCCACACTAAACAAGACTGACCTGCGTAGCCAACCAGATACTGCAAAAACAATGGCATGCGATTTCTAATGCTAGGAAATAAAAGATACATGGTTTCCACCTTACTCTCTCTTCTGGACCACTTGGTGTAAGGAAAGCCAGCTGATAAGATCCAATTATGGCACCATGACGAGGCCCACAGAAAGGGTGGTTAGCCCTCCTGCCAACACATGCTTGCTAGCCACACGAAAGATGCAGCCCGGAAGTACATCTTCTAACCCCAGGAAGCCATCAGATAACTGTAACCCTAGATAAACCCCCCTTATTAAAAACAGATCTATTTTTTGCTCATATATCCTGATTATGGTTATCCCTCCCTCTACTAATCCCAATTGCTCCCCACATCCCCTCTCATCCAAATCCACCCCCTTGTTGTCTCTCATTAGAAAACAGACAGACTTCTAAGGGATAATAAAATAACAAACATAAAATAAGACAAAACAAAAATCTAACACATCAAAATAGAACAAAACACATAGAAGGAAAAGAGTCCAAGAAAAGGTATGAAGAACAGATAGAGACAAAGATACCCACTCAGGAGTCCACAGAAACACTAGACTGGAAGCTGTTACATACAGACAGCTTAACCACACCACTGAGACTCTCGCCCAGCCAGGTGGCTTCTGTGTTCCTAACCCAGAGAAGCAATGATAAATAATGTTCAGGATGGCAACTCAGAGCTGTAAACAGCAAATCCATCAACATGTTGAAGAACTTAAAATGCCACTAAGGGTTGTACCCAGAGGCCCAGGAAAGCATCAGTGACCAAGCCCCTCTGCACTGTCATAGCTAGGTAAGACAAAGGTGACACTAGATAAACTGCTTCCTCCTCAACTGGTTTCTTAAAGAATTGTCTTCTGAGAAGGGTACGTAGTTCCAGGGTTTTTACACTAGATCCCTTGAAAAAATTACTCTAAGAATTAAAACTACTTTTCTGATTGTTTCTTTTCATGTGCGCTCACATGTTCATGTGTGCATATCACTGTAGGTGAGGCTGATGCTGGATCTTCTTTTATTGCTCTTTCACCTTATTCTGAGGCAGGCTCTCTCAATCAAACCCAGAGCTCACTTCTTTCAAAAGTCTCCTAGCCAGCTTGCTCTAGGGCTCTCTCTCCACCCTCCAGAGATGGTTGGTTGGCAGCCACACCCACAAGGTCTTCCCATTGGTTCAGGGATCCAATCTCCGGCACACTTGCTTTCTTGATTGGACAGTAAGTACTTAACCACGGAGACATCTCCCCAGCCTCAAGCCATTTTTTGGTTTGGCTCTATTTTTTCGAGATAGTACTTTATTCTCAGCCCAAGTTGAACAGGCTGGTTTTGACCTCTCAGTGACCTTCCTGCCTCAGCTCCCCAAGAGCTTTATTACAAGTCTGTGCGACCACACCAGCTTCTCAGTTTTTGTACACAGAAGTCTATATCTGGTAAACATTTTCTAGGAGAGTAGAACAGGAGTGTGTGTGTGTGTGTGTGTGTGTGTGTGTGTGTGTGTGTGTGTGTAAGAAGGCATACTGCCCCTCGCCCCAGATTCTCAGAAACGAGGAAGTCACTAGATTCTGGGGTTATAACCACCACCATCTGTACCAACACTGAGCAAACTACCTCATTGTAGGTTTTCAGGCCATAAACTCATCTCGACTTCTTCTTCACTCATTTAGTATTAGCAAGTCCTATCCATTTGGGGGCCGATGTGATTATCAAATGTAAAAGATGGGAGACAGTGGAGGGTCACACTTTACACTGTTACAAAAGGTCTTAAAGGCAGAACCCATGGAATGGGTTGGGAGGTGAGAACAGAGAATAAACATAGTTGAGGTTCTAATGGTTCTGCCACCATGAAGCCAGTATTCAAAAAGTGTGGGTCTAGAAGAAAATGACCCTAACCCATAGAAATGCTTGTGCTATGGCCCAGTGGTAATGACAGGACATTCTATTTGTATTGACCAATGTGGTGAAAGTTACTACATATGGCTACTCAGGCTGCAATTAAACATGAACACAATTTAGTATCTTATTTGTCCTAAACACTTTTCAAGTTCTCAAAAATATAGTCATTAAAATTTTAATATTTCTACAACTGGCATATTAGAAGAGGATATTTTGGATAATCAAATTAACCTTGGGCAAATGCATGTATGCTTGAGAACTCAAATGCATTACATTTCCTTATTTCCTTTATTATGCTTGACCAACTTTAGTCTAACGCCAGTATGTCTTTACTTATCAGGCTTAAGGTGAGAAATCTCATGACATGTTAGGTCATATAAAACAAAATTCTGGCATTCAGAAAATATTATTTATAGTACACAGGTAATTTAGTCAAGCTATTCGGAGTGGAAATAGTGCTAATGTAGAACAATGTCTTGTTATAACCTGTAGGGGACAAACAGAAACTACTCTTCACTGGAATCAAAGTGTACCCCCAAACTCACACTGACACTGAGCTTATAACCTACACCAGTGAGATCAAGCTCCACCTATGGTCAGGTTTTGCTTGTTTCTTCATAACACTTATTATGATCTTGATAGTTAATAATAAGGGAAGGGAAACCTCCTCAGCAACAACATCTTCAACTCTATCCGTATTATTCCCAGGCAGAGCTGTGGCACAGGTACCAAGGAAGCTGCTGGTCACTGAGAAAATAGTGAAGCACAGATGCTTGTGACTCAATCCAGTCACCAGGGTTCATGGTTAGCCATCAGTGAGACTACTCAGATCTGATCTGCTGGCAGTAGGGAAGTCTAAGCTGTCTGGATGCTCAGAAGTAGAGCACATTCTAAGTAAGAGACTTGACTGTTAGGGTAGAGAACCAAAGAACATGGGGTTATGGGTAATATTTTAATTTTTTAAGTTGAAAGCGCTAATTTAGGAATAAAAACAAATAAAATCAGGAAACTTCAAGCCAAGGAAGTGAAATCTGAGAATCACTTGGGAACATCTAGAAGAATGACCCACAGGGCACTCATCGACTGAATCAAGATTTTAAATTACTTTAGGAAGAGCTGAAAATCCCTAGATAACATTTGACTTAGTAGGACAGGGCATGCTTAGGGGTTCAGTTTTGAACCCAACAAGTATCCTTTACCTATCAAACTATCCCCCTTTGGGACAGTCTCTCACTGGCCTGGAGCTCACTAATTAGGCTAGAACGAATAACCAGCAAGTCCCAGGGACCATCCTGCCTCTGCCTTCTCAGCACAACATCAGAGGCACTCACCACCACACCTGCATTTTATGGGGACTGAACTAAGTTCTCATGCTTGCAAGGTAGTCTCATACAGCTCAGGTAGGCCTCAAACTCTTAGTTCTCCTACCCCTACCTCCCATGCCCAGTTGGCAGGTTGTATTTTAAGCTACTCATATACAAGTTTATATAAACTTAGCTCTAACACAGAGTACATACAAATTTACTGGTGTGAGTTTGTTAAACTGCATTAGTTTAAAACAGAAATTTATGTATCTAGAA